AGACCTTATAAGTGTATAGTCGTAGGGGACAACATTTTCTTGGAGCTTGCATTAAGTATGTTTTGGCTGCCTACTATTAATGCTCTGTGTTTCAGATGTTAAAATGGACATAAATTATTCAGTCTTTTTCATTGTTTTGAACAACACAGTATGTGAATCTGGATCTCTGCATGAAGAACCAGCTGGGTTTTGTTCTAGTTAATTCTGTGCAATCCAGTCCAAATCCATACTGTACTTGTAGATTAGATTTTGTTCTGCCTTATCCAGCAGTCCTATTTAGATTTTATGAATAAGGTGGTTTCACATGGAAGCCAACCTAAGCTTTACAAAAGATCCCAAAAGGAGGTTGTGATGAAGCATAAGTGATTTTTTAAAATCCTAACTTCTGTAATAGTATGTCAGACTTGGAAATACATTTTAAGTACTGTATGCTTTATTTTGTTCATTGGTGTTTTGTGCTACTGCATAGGTGGTTATAATATACTGTATAAAGATGTTTAGGAACAATTTTGGTAAGTGATAATACTCTGCTAATAATATCTTTCCCTTCCTATATAGGGTAAGTGGAAAATCTCTGACAGAAATTTACATGGCTTGATGTGAGCTCAAGAAGCTGAACCAGTCTATGAAAATTCAGAGTGATAATGTTTTTGCCACTGAAATTGACAAGCTGTAACAGAGCTGTGGATCAGCGTGAAACAGACATTTCCTTTAATAAAGTTTCATTTTTTATTTTTAACATTGTCTCTGATAAAGCTTATTTTTCAGTTTCTTTGTTTATTCTGAATTCTGACAGAAAATAGTTCAGTAACACTATATGCGTCAGCAGCTGAGTTGTAATGAGCTACCACTTCATTTAACAGGATGGTTGACAGAGATCACGTTACTGATTTGCCATTTCTCTGGACATTGCCCCTCTGCTCCCCAGTGAGAGAATTGGAAATACTTTTTACAAACTAATCATCCTCTTCAGCTCAGTCTTCTCTAATGTGTACCCCTTTTATATTTATTGGTTAGATTTGTATCCCACCTTTCAGTCAGGAGTTCAAGGTGGAGTGCATAGGGTTTCCTCCTTCCATTTTGCTCCACAACAACAACCCTGTGAAATAGATTGGATTGAGAGAGCTATTGTCCCAAAGTTGCCCAGTGAGCTTCTGTGGATGAAGATGACCTAGAACTTGAGCCTCCTTGGAGCAAGTCTAACGTTTTTACTATATCACATGGGCTTTGTGTGGTTTTCAATTCCCAGAATCTCAGCATTGGACATACTGGCTGGGAAATTCTGGGAGCTTAAGTCCAAACACTGGGAAGGCTGAAGGCTGTAAATGGCATTTATTTATTTAAGTTCTAGTAAAATGAGAGAAATTTTAAAAATATATTATTAACAAGCCTCAGAAACAACAGGAAAACAGTTGAAAGACAATATTTTCCATATATCATACATATCTTTCAGATGAACAGTATGTAGTAATATGTAGTACCTGATATTAGGGCTGAGCATGCTAAAAAAAGATTTTGAAAAGGTATTTCAGAACTTGTGGATGCAGTAACTCTTTAAAGTATTTCAGAACTTGTGGATGCAGTAACTCTTTAAAGTAAAATGAGAGAAATTTTAAAAATATATTATTAACAAGCCTCAGAAACAACAGGAAAACAGTTGAAAGACAATATTTTCCATATATCATACATATCTTTCAGATGAACAGTATGTAGTAATATGTAGTACCTGATATTAGGGCTGAGCATGCTAAAAAAAGATTTTGAAAAGGTATTTCAGAACTTGTGGATGCAGTAACTCTTTAAAGCTGCTGTATCATTTTTCAAGCTTTCAAGAGAGCCTGAAAGATTTCACTGCTGTAATGAGTCAACTCAAAATTTCAAGGAATCTTGAAAAAGGATGTAGGCATTTTAAAGAGGTGAATTTTTGCTCCCAAAGCACCTCTGAATAATTTCTAAAGCATGAACAGCACTATCTGATACTGGGTTCTAGTTCATGAAACATCAACATCAACACAATGTATTAAATGTTAATGTGCTACAAGCACATTATTTAACATTTGTTTTTCTGATATTGAACTTGAATATAAAATGTAGATAAAGTTTGAAATTTTATCTGTTTATAAATATTTCAAAAGTCTTTTTGGTAGAAATTCGGTGAGATGCCTCTCTGGAAATTGCTGAACAATTCCCAACAGACCCTTCCAACATGGCTAGTGGTTAAGAATGCTGATAGTTGCATCTCAGCAACATCAGGAGCACCAGAAATTTTCTACCCCAGGGAAAAGAGCGAGGAATTGAATAATCCAAATTCTATTTAAATGCATCGTTTAAAGCCAAAATGCCTATGATCACTTCCTGTTTTTCAGTCTACTTTAATTAAAAAGGAACCCTGCTCAATCATTTTTTCCTGGTGTAGAAATGATTATGACTGCCTTCCTGTGAAAATAACAAGTGTTATAGAATTCATGCAAAAGTACAGGTAGTCCTTGGATTATGACCACTCATTCAGTGACAGTGCAAAGTTATGATGGTGCTGAATGAGAGGTACTTACAAACTCCTCAAAGTTCCAGCAGTCACAGGACCCCCATGGTCACATGATCGTGATTCCAGTGCTTGGCAACCAGCTCACACGACAATGGTTAAATTATTGCAATTTGCAACCTTCCCTGCTGGCTTTGCATGGGCAAAGTCAATGGGGAAGCCAGCAAGGAAGGTTGCAAGTTGCTCCTGCCACTTTTCTCCCATGGAGACCTGGGAGATCCCAGGGATCTTGTACTCCATATCACCCAACTATCCACACTAGCACACACCCATCTGCAGCACTGACCTGCCTGCACACCATAGTGCCTCTGCAGCCCCCTTCAACCTACCTGCATGCTGTAGTGCTTGCCCGTGGCACCCCCATAGCACCTGTGCACCCCCCTGGGCTCTGTATTGGCACACCCCCCCACACACAATGACCTGCACGGTCCTGGGCTAACAATGGCAGCCAGGACTGCTAGGATTGCCATTGCTAAGTGGTGTGGTCACGTAATGTTACGCTTTATGACCGCTTTGCTTACTGATGGCAATCCTGATCCCAACTGAAGTAACCACCTTTTATGGCTTCTGCAAGAGTCTGAAGAACACTCTAATGAGTAGCAGAAAGGCAGAACACTTATCTCTAATTTTATTTAAAATGGGTGCAGCCTTAGAAATAAATATCTAAGTCTCCAAAAGGAGAATAGCTGTACTTGTTTCATTGGAAGTGCATTTATATAGACTTAATCGTTACTGTTGTTCACACACATTTAGTATTTCTTGGAATGCAGAGTTGCAAATTCATTTGTTATTTAAAGCCTATATGTGTTCTGGGTCTGTGCTAAGCATGCCTTTTATTAAAGATATCCTGAAACAATTTAATTATAAGATTTAATTTGATGTGTTCTGAATTCATTATTTAAAACCAAGAATGTGCATGTTCCTTTTAAGAGTGTGCTCCCTTTTGAAACTCATGTGCTAAGGGTCATACAGAAATAAGTGCTACTGAGACTCAACAGATGTAAGGGTTGATAGTTTAGTTTTAAAATGAATCTTAAGAAGGAATAACAGTATTTGCAGTCAGTAAAAACAAATGGTAGCACTTTTCCTGAAGCGCAGCAATTTTTGCTCTTGAAATTAATCTTTAATTGTCTTGCCAGGAAAATGCATTCCCTGGTTGAAATAGAAGGAGGCGATAACTAAACTCCAATATGCCCTTTTCAGATGTGCTATCAGAGTACTTAAACACAGTATTGTCCATGAAAGCTTTGCCACTTTTTGCTACATGTTTGCACTGCTTCTAATAATAATGTAATCTATCATTTCATCAGTGCAAACAGGGTAATGCCTATGCAGCTCATCAAAGGACATAATGCTAAAGATTAATCTTACGGAAGAAACAAGTGACTAAATTTATTGCTACAAAAATTTCTATTTGATATTCTGGACACCCCATCCTTACTGATCTACCAACATTCTATGTTTGCTGCATGTTCTCTTAACACAGAGGTTTTTATCTCAGAATTCGAGTTTTGGGAGTGGGGGTCATGGTTGTCCTGTTTGTACCCCTCCCAGCTATGTTAAGATGGTGAATTTCTCCACTGATCTCCACAGGTATTTAGAGATCGGAGAAATTATACAAATAGTTTATCAGTGAGAAATAGGAAATACAATTTAGGTGATTTATACTTTTGAGGGAATTTTTGTATGGAAGAACAGTCAAATCTTTAGATTTACATGAACTCTGAATTGCTACACAACAACTTCACAAGCTCATTTTCTATTTGAGACCAAACGCTAGGAGTTCTGGGAGATGGAATCTGGACTTTTAATCAGTACTAGGTTGCCATCCCTAGTATAATTTTTTTTTTTTTAATTTCTGTTGGAAGACCATTGACAGAGTGGGACATTACACTAAGCAATTGTGTGGTTTGCTTGATTTTTGCTCAGTATCTTGTGTGAACACGAACCTTACTGCAGTGTTCAAACTTTGGAACATCGATTTCAGGCCAGAAGACTTCTGGCAGTCAAAACAACTTTCAGATTCAACAATGAAACATTTTCCTCTGTTCTGCTCTCAACCACTTCCTATAGTTAAGAATATATTGAAGTTTCTACAAGCAATATAGGAATATGTTGGAATGGTTACAAGCAAAGCCAGGACACCCATCCTGTGTATTAACAATAAAGATACAACATTTGACTCAGAGCAGTTCTGTTTGATTCTGAAAAAATGGGATAGGGGGATCATTTTTGCAAAGCCCTCTTCTGCCTGTGCTCTGGGAAAGCTGTGTAGAGTCATACATGAAGAAACAGTGAGTGTTACTTCCCCCCATTAATGGCAATGGGAAACTGACTTATTCCCTGGAGGCCACCCATCAATTGGCCAGCAGAAACAATAGTTGGACCTCCATGGCGTAGGAGCATTTGTAGCCCAGGGCCAGATGCCACTGTCACTTGCCCTGAAACCCTCTCAGTTGGCACAAAGTTTCCATGGGTGAGGAACACACGGGCACATTAGTTTTTCCCAGCCAGACAGGACTCATAAGACCAACACCTACTGATGGGTGCCTTTAATTGATTATATCTCACCCATTCATTTAATCCTCAAGAGGTTCATACCATTGTTCTTGCCATGCAGCATCTATGCGCTTGCTCCTAAATGGGAGAGGTAAAATAATTCTATCTGCTATCAGTTTATACAGACCCAATTGGTTCTGCACTTTTGGTATTACTTCACCTAGTATTTCTGCACTGTGCTGAAACTTTTTTTTCAAAAATGAGATTTCAAAAACAATCTTATTACACTTTTTTTGTAATACTGGACCCCCAGAATAATGTCCTGAAAGTAATAAAAGTCATTTTCAATGAGGTCAATATATTTTAATATATTCCTATCCAATGTGTATTTCAGTATAGTCCTTCCCATTTTGGAATATACTTAAAACTGGAAAGAGATTATAAGGACTTTATACTAGTCCCTGAATTAGATGACCCTAAGATCATTCTAAGTAGGCTGTGATTAATAATATCTATTGTACTGTTTAATACTATATGCAGGATTTCTAACTTGTTCCATTCATCAAATAATTCCCCAGAACCAAAGATTGTAATGATCAAGTGTTTTATTTGCTTATTACCATTTTTCAATTCAAATAATTTAATTGCAATATTAAAAATGAATTACTAGAAACCAAATTACTTTATTTACTACAACTCTTTTAAACAATATACATCTGAACATTACATAAAAAATTGTTCTGTGGTTATGGTTATCTGATACAAATGTAGAAATAATAATGTCAAATGTCAACAGATCTGGGAAAAGCATCTAAATACTTTTGTATAATTGTGGGGAAGAATGAACTCAGCACCTGGAGTAAGCAGTCATTTTTTTCTTCCTGGAATCCAGAGTTTTGGTGCTGCCTTAATTGGAGAGTTTGTTTTATAAAAAGGGAACTGAAAGCAAGAATGTGGGTGTCGAGGAAAAGAGAGAAGCCCACAGTATTGATCTCCAGAAAAACTCTAAGTGAAGCCATCATTTATCAGTGTTATGTGTGCAAAACAATTGAGCAAGAACATTTTGGATAGCTCCATCTAGTTCTTAATTTGCATTTATGTGGAAGAGGGAACTCAGCACCTGGAGTTAGCAGGCAGTTCTTTTTCCTGGCATCCAGTTTTGGTGCTGCCTGGGAAGGAGAGTTAAACCACCCCACCATCACCTTCATTGGAAGCCCTGCCCTCTCCTGTTTTATAAAAAGCCCCACCCTCTCCAACTGGGGAGAGCTGGGAAGGAGAAACTCCAGCCCAAAGGCAAGCACCTGAGCAGTAGTCTTCAGACAGCAAGAGAAAACTTCAGTTCTTGGAGCTGCAAGACTGCTGCAAGGCAGAGCTAAGAGAGGGGGAGGAAAAGAGTCTGATCAGAGTCTGCAAACCCAAGCAAGCCTGCAAACCAAACCAAGCTGCCCAAAATGGTCTTGCTCAATTGTTTTGCACAAATAACACTGATAAACAATGGTTTCATTCTAGAGATCATTGGAGATCAACACTATGGGACTCCTCCTTTGAAATAGGAGAGGCAGATTTTAGTTTTTGAGATGGAGGGAGGTTACTCTTTAAAAGTAACCTTTTTTTTTTAAGAACTTTCTTCTCCATCTTTCTTTTTTCATTCTTTGAACTTCCACCAACAGGTAAGGAAGGGTATGGCAGAGATGGTAGTGCATGTATGTCGCTCAAGCTTAAAATTCCTGGAGGTTTGGTGGACATAGAGTTCCTGCAAGGTGCTCAGGGCAGCTTTGATGATGAATGTATAGGTGCTGCAGAATTTTTGTGGCCCTCACACTGTTGGCAGGTGCATTTTGGAATGTCTCTTTCTTGCCCATCATGTCTAGAATTCTGGAAATCTGCATTCAACTTCACTTGTCAACAACCTGAACCATCAAGTGGCCTTGGCTCTTTTGTTTGGTGTAATTCTTTCTAGGAGTAACACGATGGTTAGCAATGAGAGTGGAATAAACAGTCTCCCTCGTCCGTTCTCTTAAGATGCTTAGGTGCTGTAACTTTTCCATTTCCACAAGATGAGGGACTAGGCTGTCAAGCGAAGCATTAAGTGGTGGGTTTCCATAAATTTTACTTGAGCCAGAGGGTCTTTCTGTACCAGGTTTCCTGAAGTCTCTGAAAAGAAAATGAAAGAAGCTAAAATTGTAAATTGTGTTCATTACATCGTACCTCTCATGAAAAGGCACCAGCAACTCTGTATAAAAAACTACATTTGCAACTGAAGTCCATGTGAAAATCTGAAATAAGGGTTTGTATTTCCATCAAATTAAGGCTTGATGCAAATATTGGAAGGATGGCAATGCATTGCCCCCATCCAGATTATAGCAAGCGTCCTTCAACAAGGATAATCAAGGCAGTCTCTGGCCCATGCCCTGATCTGAATCCTGAGCAAAGAAGGACCAGGGTGTGTCTCAACCACGTTTCAATAACCTTCCCTAAAAAGGGGACGTTAGAGACAGGTTGTATGGTTCTTCAATACAGACAAATTCAGGAAGGGCCTCTTTAGGAGGCGGTTAGCACGGCCTGTTTCAAAACTCCTGGCACTATTCTTCCCAAGTCAGACATCGATCAGCTAGATTCAATCAGGAACACTTTCCCCAGGTCCTGAGCCAGGAGGGGCACGAATCAAGGATACAAGTGACCGACAGCACATGCAGAGCACCTCATCTACTTTATCAGAGTTCACAGGTCAGAAGAACTCTGAGTTAGATTCACCTTTTCTCTTTCTCTGCCAGTGCTCTAGCATCTTTTCTACAACTTCATCTCCTGCAGGTCTTTGGTAAAGCATTGAGCCAACTGGGATCAACTAAGAGGTGGAGACCACTTGGGAGGAATTGCATGAATCACCCAGGACACTTCCTGCTGACAGCATGTAACCAGCACAAAGGGAATCGCTGCACATTTGCCCAGAAAATCCTAAGGGCCCATAGGAGACCATGTAGACACAGAAACCACCTGGGCTGCCCCTTCCTAATCAGGCTATTTGCCCTGTGGAGATCTTGGGGGGCCAATTTCATTGGGACTAGGAAGCGATCTGACCTCAGCAAAGGCCATATAGAAAGGCCCCCATATTTAAGCTCCCTACATACCTGCTGTGCAAGAAAAATTAGGTCCAAAATGCGCGTTATGTCCACTGTCACCAATGGAGACCCTGAGCTCTCAAATTCTGCTTAGAATGGCCCTGAAAGCATAGAAATTTAAATCACTCCACATGGGGACCCTTAAGGTTGTTATTAATTATTAACTATTGCTATTCATAGTAAATTCACGTTAATTAATAGGGCTTATAAAAATCCAAATGAAGCCATTCCCAGATAGTTTTCTTGGCAAGCAGACATCTCAACATCTACAATAATTTTCCTCTTCCACAATTAGTTTTTCAAATGTATTTTTTATAAACACCGACTTATACGCTGATGCTTTGCACTTCTGCACATGTCAATCCACTGAGCAACATGCTTTCCCAAGGGTGTTTTAAAATGAGCTTAATGCTTTTAACCAATCTGTTCTAGGCGTAATGGGATCGTTAGCAGACAGAGTGGAATAAACAGCCGCCCTCGTCCGTTCTCTTAGGATGGCTAGCTGCTGTAACCTTTCCATCTCCACGAGACGAGGGACTAGGTTGTCAAGCGAAGCATTAAGTGGTGGGTTTCCAGGAACTGGAAAATGAAAGAAGCTAAAATTGTAAATTGTGATCAGGACATCGTGCCTCTTAGGAAAAGGCATCAGCAACTCTGTATAAAAAACTACATATGAAGCCATTCCCACAGATACTTTCCTTGGCAAGCAGACGCATCTCAATGTCTACAATACTTTTCCTCTTCCACAATTAGTTTTTCAAATTTTTTTTTTAAACACCGACTTATATGTTGGTGCTTTGCACTTCTGCACATGCCAGTGCAC